TAAAAAAACTTTTAAAACTCCTACTCTTATTTCTTTGTAGTCTCCAGTCAATTAATCAATGTCGACACTGTATTCTTTGTCAACTTGCATTTTTGCAACTCACCTCCTCAGAAGGATCAATGGCTGTTAACTACAAAAGTTACAAAAAAATCAACTTGGTGATTCATTATCCTTAACGGAGGAACTCAGCTAGAACATAAAGCAGACCTTGTTTATTTGAAGTATCAAAGCAGTTTCTAAATCTTTTCTTTTTCTGTATATTCCTTGTAAAAAAAAAGTATTGAAGCCTAAGAGAAGAACATGGAAGGACAGGGACTTTCCTCCCACTTCAACTAGCCTACCAGAATTGTGTTAACACTTTGATGTGAGTCATGGGAAGAAATCAACATTCTGATTGTACTTTGCGCAACCAACATTTTATAACTATGGAACTATTACTGAATCTCTTTTTCAAACGTGAAAAATTCCATACCACATACAAGTACAAATGAATGTATTCAGTGATAAAAGAAGGCAATCCTAACTAATCTCTAAAACTGAATTTAAAATATTTTTCACTAACAGAATGGATGCATACATTAAGCTGAACACAGAATATATCATATTTAATGTTGTAATTCTATTGATGGAATGGCATCTGCTATTGGAAGATTTTTCCTACATCAGCATCCTCTAAGCAGTTTTACTTATATGTTAAGCCAGTGCTGGCTTAACTGCCATTTATGTCCATTCAAATGCATTAATTTATCTTATAAATTAATCTCTCCCCAAATCGCTTTCCTTTTCCCCTTCGTCATCTCCTATTTATTTTGTTATCACAATGATGATTATCATGATAATTACTGCATACTATGTGATATGTAATAGTATCATACTAAGACTGAGATAATATAAGTAGCTTTACTTCCAGGCCTGAAGTTAGGTTATTTGTTGATCTCCTGGTGGTTTGCTTTTGAACCCTAGGATTTGCAGAAGGAATACAAGTTTTTTTCTGTTTTTTTTAAATTGTGCAACCTACCCAGAGTTATTTGAGAGTCAAGTGGTCTTCCAGATTTAACAAACTAACAAAGTTGCTTTTACTAAAAAACCACTTAATGTTCCTGAAGGTACTGCTTTTCTGAATTTAAAATCATAGTTCTATTTTGTATTTGATATCTTCATTTATTCCCTACAATATTGATCATGGCAATATTCAAGGTTATTGACACAATTTAACATCTAGCACACAATATATATTAATATTAACAAAGTGTGCTAGCAAGCACCTTACTTTAATTAATACTTTCCTCATTTCATTTTATCTTTTAAAACAATTTCTGTCTTTCAGCTAGACATTTAATTTTCTTTTCAATCCTAAGGCAATGGAATTCCTAAATCAATTGTTTAGTCAGTCTGTGTTCTCAAGAACAGAGATGTTCTAAATTTTTCTTTTAGAAAACACAATTGCTATTTGTAAACGGATTGTACTGTGGTTGTTAATCCATCCACTCAGCCCAGAAGGCATTCAAAGAGGCTAACAACAATTTTAACATCATAGAGGACAGTGGTGGCGAACCTATGGCACGCGTGCCAGAGGGGGGCACTCGGAGCCCTCTCTGTGGGCACGCGCGCCTCGCTCTTTGGCTAAGTTTTCGCAGTGCTGCATGTGTTGCTCTCAAACTTACAAAGTATAAGCCAAGATTAGACAAATTATCAGCATGCATACAACAGCAAAAATCACATTAATTGTTCAAAAGCATGCCAAATGCAAACTTTTACCTTTCAGTAAATAGTTGTTTATATTATTGAAAGCTTTGTTATTGTGTTTTTCTTTTAAGATAAAATATGTTAATGTATGAATTGTTTTTTCTAAACTAAAACCTCAGGACTCAGATTAAATTGCTGTGTTGGCACTTTGCGATAAATAAGTGGGTTTTGGGTTGCAGTTTGGGCACTCAGTCGCTAACAGGTTCGCCATCACTGATATAGGATTTTCATAAAATTGATAGAATTATGAGTGGGCTAATGATTGTTAAATGATAATTTCATCACAACCTGGCTTGCAAAATTTGTTCCATATTCATAACAAAGATTTATATGCAGTAGTTAATAAATTAAAGGTGTTTTCTGAAATATTATACCAGATTATAAAGACATGAAAGCCAAGGTTATGTGCATCTTAATTTTAAACTCCAATGGTCCAAGGAATAAAAAACTACTTCTCAATAATTCAAATTTGTTTATAGTAATCATTAAATTCTACTTTTGAATATCATTAATTGTGATTTAGTAAGCAGATTCTACAAGAAATATGCCCAACAAGATATTACAAGTGTCTTTTATTCATATCTTTTGTAACTGCTACTTGGCAAGTAAGATTATGGTGTATATACCAGACAAAAACTGTTTGTTATTGAACTAAGATATGTAAGTAAATACTTCAATCTATATCATGAATTGCACACTAACAAACCAATGTTCGCACTAAATGTATTCAAAATGGCAACATATACTCAATGGTTTTGCAGCCAATCCTAGCTCTCTAAGAAATGGGTCCATATGAGGTAACACAAGTTTATTAAACATGTAAAGTATTAATAGTTATTTCTTTCTGTTCTACAGATGATATTATCTTAGGCATAGCCTGTTTCTGTTATTTTAGGCATGAGTTTCTTAAAGCTTTTGATGCACTCTAATGCAATAAGGATTTCTTTATGGGTTCTGCAGAATATTTTTTCCCCACGATTACACAAGCCACTGCCAGGCTAATAGCTTTTCATTCATTAACAAAACACACAGAGAAGGCATAGTGGATACATAAAACATTTCAATATTCCTAATAGTTCTTGAACTTCAGGCAATCCTTGAGCACTGAAATATAAAATGTTTGGTTAGCAAATGATTTAACAGAAAAGACTGTTGCAGTGCTCAGACAGATAGATCAAGGAATTACTTTACGGTTAGAAAAGTCTCACCATAAATGGGAAAATACGTAAAGTTACCAGATGTCCTTATTTTAAATCATATCATTTATGTTCAGTGTGTATGAAGCAGGATTAATCTGCTGCTCCCCATACAAGATTGTTACCAGATTGTGAGAAAGAAGAGAAGAAATTTAAGTTTTAGTACAGAATAGTTCAACATGCTGAAAGTGAACAGAGTTTTTAGATAAATATATTTTTAGCAATAGAATTGCTAGTACTTGCCATGAGTTCAGATTATTTTTACAGTATTATAAAAAATTGGGGGGGATATGATATTGTGATTTGTGCTGATCTTTCTGATAATAACAACCTGCCTAAATAGTCTCTCTAGTAAATCTCATATTATAATCTCTAAATTAAACAGAATGATGGGAGAATCTGAGAATAGTTAAGAATTTGGAAGTCTCATTTTTCCAGATGGAGTAGGCAGAAATTGTAGTATGTAGTACATCTACCTTTTAGAGTAGCTAATTCCAGTAGCCAGAATTTCAGCACTCTTGAACTGTATCTTCAACTATAAGCAGAACATTGGTAGATGATCCCTGCCTATTTCCAAATTCAAACTACAGAGAAAAACAGGATTCCTCTTATAGCTACTATCACAGCTATGGCAGACAAACAGAATTGAGGGATACTTGTTAAGTATTTATGGTTGATTGCACAGTCAGCCAGATGTTTAGACTGGATCTGGTACCTCCCGAATCTTTCCCAAGGACCAGGGATAGGCAAATTTTTTTGTTTGATAGAGTTAAAATTATTGTCACAGGATGTAAGATGTTCCAAGTAAAGCTGACTTTTGCAACTAAATGATGGTGATTTTGTCAATGCTGAGGGTACTTTTATTATTATTTGCAATAATTATTTGCAGTTTATCAAATTTCATATTTATTAGGATTAATTTCTAATTAAGTCTTGGAAGTTCACTTTTGTATTATAGTTTGCCATGCCGCATCTACTGTTGGTTGCCCTATGCTTCTACTTTTTCCTTGACCTCCCATCAGGAAACACAGCTTGACAATTATTCAAAATATCCTATTCTGAATATCCTAGATATACTAAACATATAGATAGATAGATTTATAGATATAAATATAGACATATTTCTTAGGTCAAGCACTTCTGGAAACCCTCTGCTACTGTATATGAGCAAAAAGGTATCTCTACAGATGTTCTTTGTATACCAGATAAAAAGCCAGGATGAAAAAATTGCTCTGAATTATTCTTTATCTCCTTGTAGTCTACAAAAGATTTCTTGCACAGTTTAAAACAGATCCACTTCCTGACTGACCTTTACAAGGCACCAAACTGGGAAACCCATAAAATATTTACATCTCTTCTGCTTCACAAGCTTATTATGTATCATAAACACTGTTCATATTTAACTTTCCTTTTGGCTAGCTCTATAAAATATAATTCTTCTGTAAACTAAATGGCCTGCTTAAAAAAAAACCCAACAAAAATGGAATAGATTCAAATGTGCACAGCTAAGGATATTTTACCTTAAGACTGTTAAATTTAGCCATATCAATTTGGCTGTAGGTTTTTCACTTCCTTACTTAATCTTCATTAATGTTTCACATTTGTGATCATATATACAACTAGAAATAAATCTAATAATGGTGAAGCAGTTAGGACTGGAAAGGAATGGAACCAGAATTAACTGTAACTATTTGTAAAGTATTTATGCCCCAGCTGATGTATAAGACTCAGGGATGAATACAGAATTACCTGAAAGAAAATTTACAAAAGCACAAAAGCACTCCATTATCTGTCTATCTATATATATTTCCACAATGAAATTCTCAGGGAAGTTCCAAGTTTTTCCTGATTATTCATCTGTCCAATCTTCTTATTGGCTCTGCTGCAATCTTAAAATCTCAGTTCAAATTCAAGTTCCAAGCTTTTAAACTGTTCCTTCCTGCTAGCAGAACATCACCCTACAGTAAATGGGCTGTTTTCCTTTTAATAAATATATCAGTTATCGTTGAGAAAAAGTAAAGTTATGAACTTCAAGTAAAAGAAATTAGGCAAGCTTACCGTTACACCAAAGAAGCTGGTTTGATTCATTGCATCCAAGAAAATCTTTCCAAGTTCTTTGTTGGTGTAGTTAAAGTCTTCAATTTTTTGGTTTCTGTTTGTGGCATTAAGAATCTTCATTGCCTGCTGCAGTGTTTTGGCAATTACCCATATTCCATCATAAGCAAAGCCATGGAACTTACTTGGCTCAACATTTCCACGCCTTTGATCATATTCCTCTTCATATTGCTGTGGCGTCTGTAGAAAGAATGTGAAAAGGGATTCACTTTTAGTATGCTAAAAGTCCATACATTGTATTGAGTCTAAAAGTGAAACTCCAATTAAAATTTTTGCAAGTTCTTTGAAGTTATATGAATCTCAAGAAAGATAATTAAGAGGGGAAATGCAAGGCAGGGGAAAATGCACTAATTAATTATTTATATAAATGCACTATTTTATTATTTATATAGTACCATCAAATGCATACACATTATAAATAGTTACACTGCAAGCTTAATGGAGGGGCTAAAATATACAAGAGAAAGGGATGGAACTGGGGAAGTACATGTGTGCATTTCAGTTAAATTTAGTAAATATTATTATATTGGAATTAAAAGGGTGAGTTTTGCATAAGATACTTTTAAGTATTTTTCACTAGTGCCAGAAAACAGGGTACTGCTCTCTTTGCCCAGGATTCAGTTCATAACTAAGCATTTCTATTATGCATGAGTACATTTTCCCATAGTAATATTCAACAATTATATTTTTAAGATTTTTTTTTGTTTTTTTAGCTGGTAAAGCATACCTGTCTGAATTAGGGCAAATTTACACAATCAAATATTCCATATATATCTAAAATAGTCAGCTACTCATGCAATTCAAGTGTCTAATTTTCTCCTTATCACTTGTATAAAATGAAAATGTTTTCAGAGTTGGTTTAGACATTATATCTCATGGAACAGTTGTACAGTAATCCATGAGATCAAACTGCAGTAAACAATGTGCTGCAAATAATGTAATAAAATGTAGTAGTATATATGAGCCAAGATTTATATTTTGGCTTTCTTCCTTTTCAGCGTTATCACAGAATTTTCTGTGATTGCTTTTAACCTTAAATGTATCCCAAATTACACAGAGAAGGAATTATACATTCCAGAAATTAAAAGAAGCTTGAGAAAGAAATTCAAAATAGCCACAGCTTGATTTTCCTTAATATTAAGTTGGGACGGGGAGAAATTTAGAAAGATTTTTAAGAGAATGTTATTACACTCTACAACAGTGGTTCCCAACCTTTTCTATACCCCGCACCCCTAGAACAGTTCTGATATATTCTCGCACCCCTTACAAAAGTTCGAAATAACGGCAACAAATTATGCATATACACTATAATTTTGAAAACCCAAGTTTTTGCACCCTTGGAATATTGTCTCGCACCCTCAGGGGGTGCGAGTACCCCTGGTTGGGAACCCCTGCTCTACAACAATAGAGTAATAGTTCTGGAATCTCTGTGGTGTACACGTATGGACCTGGGATACTTCAAAGAGAGGAGACTACGTTACACTGGATTCTATAACTGTTAGCAAGCAGCAATCTTCTCAGATAAGTTGGCAAACACCATATCTAAATTCTTTGTTATAGACAGGAGCTGTTGACAGGGGGACCAGCTTCTCCTTGAAAGAATGATAACCCTAAGGATCCTATTACAGTGACTACAGTAAAAACTAAATTGCATTGTTCATAATCCAAATTAAAAATTTTCTCCAACTATAGGTCTGCACAATTGTAAGCTATTCTGTCTGCTGTGGGGTGATTTTACACAATTTATTGAGTCCTTACTTTCCTGGGCTTTATATTTTTACTTATGTTTTCTAGAGCTTAGTTGAAGGAGGAGATTTCTGGCAATAAGACTTGAAATTTTTTCAGAACTTGGCAGACCAAGATGTTAAGTCTGCTTGTGGTAGCAGCCCAGCAATTATTCATTCTCTGAGTAAATCATTCCTACTACAAATCTACAACAATGGTCTTCCTGCACATTGACACTTTCATGTCAATTCAGTAAATGGACACTACTGGAAATTCTAAATAGTATTTGTTATATTTAATATGAAATGAGTAGGATCTTCACCATGTTGTTTTGGACATTACTGCCCTGATGACATTCATTGGCAAAACTGAGTTTAAAATAATTGTTTGTGTTCATTAATGATCTAATAGAAACTCCAGTTCTTCATGTGCACACAAATGTACAAATGTAAGTCTGCTATTCATCTTTTTTCCCCTTATAAATGTCATAGTTCATCATATTTCCCTTCTTTCCATTGCTGAGAAAATTGTCCTATCACTTTCCCCATTCTAACTCTTCAAGCACACGAGATTCCTTTATTTTTTTAGCACATTTTAATAACTTAAAATCTCTTAACAGAAGCAGACAATGTTCTTTCATTGTTCTATTTATGTGGAAAATTCCACTTTAGAAAAGTCTTTCATAGTGGATACAGTAATATTATTGATAATCAGTATTATTAGTACTAATAATAATCATTATTATAAATAGTTAACTGCTCGCTTTTGTGCAGGGAATTGCTCTCTACAAAATCAAAGTATCTTATAAGAATACAGTGAGTGCACTTCCAGAGTTGACAGGCTTCTCCCTTTACACTTGAACAAAGCAGTCCATCTCAGACTAGTGTACTTAAGCATGCCAACCCAGATAATAGACAGCTAATTATCAGAAAATTGTATAATCTTTTGTATCTTATTTTATATATTTTATTTCTCCCACACGCCCTTCAATATTATCTTTCTAATTTATTGAAATATAAAGCCAGCCCAGATATTCCTACTTGAAGAGTCATGCCCAGTTCTCATTTTTATATTTACATAGGTACAGTATATCAATTTCAGGACTGGGTTGCAATGCATTATTGCAAGGAATCAATGCGGTAGAAACACAGTATTTTTGAAATGGCCCAAATAGACAATAAACTAACTTACTCTTCCAGATATGGTTTTTATCTGTTTGGAACTGAGAGGTTCAAAATCCACTCCAATGTAACCTTCCATTGCACCCAGAAGGTTTATACCAAGACAGGGTGATGAATTCAGCTTTGAAATCGCTTTTTCCCACCAAAAGCTCTGATACCATCCAGGAATTATCCATTGATACTTAGGGCCGAACATTTTTTCATGAAATGCCTGCAGTAGAAATGTGAATGAAAAGAAGCAATTTCATTGGTGGAATGTAGAAGACATACGACAAAAGTATTCTACTGAAGTTTTGTGTATTTTAGCTTCAAAAGCTACTAACAGTTACCTTAATATTATAAACCATAGCCTAGAAAAATAATTCTGTCTCTTTTCATATATCTATATACAATTCAAACTTTTTGGTAGAAAAGTAAAGGTCCAATTAACCAAATCCTGCTACAATACAAACACCTTTGCATTTAACGGGCTTACAGGAGAAGCAAAGCTTTGACTGAAGATTGCTTTTATAAATAAAATGTCCCAAAAAGTTCAGAAACTTTATTTATTTGTTACTTAGGTTAATGTGCCATTTCAATTGTCAATTGTCTTGTCTAAGCCACTTTAAATGAGGGCTTAAAGTTAGAAAAGTGCAACATTTGTATCTATGATAAATAATAACTACCGTGGGACTCCAGTAGTTGAACCTCACCTACTCACCAAGTATGTTTTAATTGTATCTGCCATTCTGGCCATTTATTTCTAGCTAAAGCTCTCCTGAAGCTAGGAGAGTTCAAAAGTGCTTTTGGCTGAATTGTAATGTACTGGGTGAGGTGGGTTGTTTAAGAACAAGACGATATAGGACAGTGATGGTGAACCTTTTAGAGACCGAGTGCCCCAAACCCGCCCCCTGCCCGTGCTCTGCCTTCCATCCTGCCTACTCTGCCCCCACCCACCCCCTGCCCCACCCACCCGCAGGACCATGCACCGCCTCCATGGCCCACTGCAGATCGCCCAGGCAGCCCTGTAGCGCCATGGCAGCCACACCCTCTGCCCACACCCCGCAGCATCATCTGCACACTATAGGGCACAAGGGCAGAGTCTTGTCCCTGTTGCCTAGCTATGTCCTTGACTGTGCTGCTCTGTGTGGGCCACGCCCGGGGGCGACTATTCTCCAGGGGGACTGCTGGTGAGGAGGGGTCTGCAGGGGGAGGCGGGGCTGGAGCGATGATGTGTGTGCCCACAGAGAGGGCTCCAAGTGCCATCTCTGGCACACGTGCCATAGGTTCACCACCACTGATATAGGAGAACCTTGCAGATGTATTAGCATATACAGATAGACTGTTGCAGCATCTCCCCACGGTCACGTAATCAAAATTCGGATGCTTGGCAACTGGTTCATATTTATGACGGTTGCAGTGCCTTGGGGTCACGTGATCCCCTTTTGCAACCTTCTGACAAGCAAAGTCAATGGGGAAGCCAGATTCACTTAACTCAACTGTGTTACTAAATTAACAACTGCAGTGATTCATTTAACACAAGGGTAGGCAACCTTGGCTCTTTTATGGCTGGCTCAGGAATTCTGGAAGTTGAAGTCCACAAGTCATAAAAGAGCCAAGGTTGCCTACCCCTGATTTAACCCCTGATCTGTGGCAAGAAAGGTAGTAAAATGGGGCAAGCTTCACTTAAAAACCATCTCACTTAGCAATGAAATTTTGGGCTCAACTATGATCATAAGTTGAGGACTACCTCTACTGAGGTAGGAAAAATAGAACTTTGGTCTAGATCTGGAATATTTAAACATTCATTTCATTATTTATTTACATTATTTTAAACTAACCTTCATCAGAAATTCTTAAGAGAAGTTACCCCATTTTAAAAATCAAGCCCAGAAGTGCTTATAAATATTAAGCATTTAAATAAGCCAAGAAATGATTAATTTAATCATTGGGGTATGTGACAACACTTTTCTTTATCTCTTTCCTTTTTTCACTTACACAACAGAATACTTTTGCTGCCATTTCCTCATTAAACTGGCCAAGGATAATTCTAACATCATTTCCCTGCAAGGGAAAAAAGAAGAGATTTTAATTATTGACATTTTCATTCATATTACTCAAATGCTGTTGTACATAGCAAAAAAAAAACCTCCACACATTTTTAATCGACAAATTTCTGTGCTACATGTATCCTAGAGGATGAAAATATAGCAGTGAACTATTGCTAAGAAATAATAAAATTCATATATAATTTTTTCCTTATTATCTGTGAAATGCAGTGATTATAAATATAGACTGGTCTTCTTGCATGATTATTACATATGAGGCACAAAAATCATTACTATAATAACTGTTTTAAAAAATGCTTCAAAGAAGGCTATACAGTAGGACTACATCATTCATAGATGCTCTGAACCAGCGCAGTTTCATACTACTAATTAACCACTAACTAACTAATAATAATGTGGGCAATAAAGGTAACAGAGATGTGCAAAAGGATTGTGTATTCATATTTTATTTGTTAGTAATAAAATGCCAATTACATAAACTTCTTATGAAATTGAGGCTAAGCACAGAATTAAGACGGAAATTGTTGCTAATTTGAAACATATTGAAAGATAATATTAATTGCAAAAGATAGCTTTACTTGGAATAGCTTATATTCTGCAACAATATCTTTAATATTATTAAATAATAATAATAATATTATTGTTAAATAATAATATCTGCCTATCCCAGGTCCTTGATAAAAATACCAAAAATCCAGTCAAAACTTCTGGCTGTGTGACGAACTATAATAAATAACACTGACTCCTTAGATAATTCCGTCTACCCTTGAGCGATGATACTGACCATTTTGGGGGAATCCTGTTCTAGACAGTCTTTAGAAACAATTAAGAGTTGCTTCTAAGTAATATGCTTAGGATCACAGTACTATCCTCAGAATTATTCTGATTCCTTTCCTTTTCTATTAAAAATAAAAGTTTAGGTATTTCAGTTATCCTCTCTAAATAATCAGTTTGCACTTCTTTATGTGGACCAATAGGTTTCCTATTCATTGTTACTCTAATTTATTTTTAGTACTAATCCAAGTTCAGCAATATTAGCTTGATTAGATAGTTTGATTACTCTATAAAGTTCCTGAAAACGGAGTGGGAGTTCATTATAGGAAGAAAAACCTATTCAATCTGTTTTCTTAATTTCTAATTGCAGCTGTTTCCTGTTCTTAGAAATATACTGAAATTGGTAAGGCTAGATCAGGGGTAGGCAACCTTGGCTCTTTTATGACTCGTGGCTCAGGAATTCTGGGAGTTGAAGTCCACGAGTCATAAAAGAGCCAAAGTTGCCTACCCCTGGGCTAGATTCTGGACATCTTCTAATGCTGTCAATTTTATCCCTAAAATTTAGAAAGAAAGAGAAAACATGGGGAAATGTTCCAAAATGTTAAAGAAATATCAAATGGGAATGCTATTTTATTTATTGGTATGAATAGCCATCATTTCTTTTATGTATTAAAAGGTAGCAATGTTAGTGTTCATGTTTATACAGAGACTGTATTTGACAGTCAAGCCTGAATAATAAACAAGATGTTAGGCTTTGTGAGGAGCAGGGGACAGAGGGCAGAGGTAGTAGCAATTGTTACATTCTCTGGTGACAGCCTGAAAAAAATCCACAGATAATAACACAGAGAAAGATGCAAACAAAAACACAGCAGCTTAATATTTATGGCTCCATATTCTGAAAAGCTTCAAATTAAAAAATGAGATGAGATACACTCCCATCTAAGGTTAATTTACAATTTCAAAACCAATATCAAAAGCTATCACATTTATCTGAGCAAATTAAAATGACAGAAAAATATACATCAAAATGCCTTAAACAGAAAATGTACATTTGGTCACTGAGATTCATACATCTCGGGTTTTTCCAATAATATACAACATATAAAACAGACTGATATCTATGCTTTGCAGAGAAGCCCCCCTCCCAATAAAAAAAGTTATAAATAGCATTAAGAATTTTTATTTGTATGCCCTATTTCTTTCTTTAGGAAAGTGTATATTGGGAAATAAAGTGTCAGTCAACTGGAATAATTTCTGTTTCCTACTAGGGAGCCTTTATCTCTTACTTCTGGTCAATCCTGAAGGGCGAATATGTTAAAAATGAATATTACAAACTACCCATTCAACTTCTAGAGAGCATATAACATTTGTTATCATAAAGATAATAACAACAGAGACATGGATAGTGCAAACAGATTGAAAAATATGAAAGCCAATATATAATAAATGGGCAGCTTAAACTTATTTAATATTTATGGTTGGTTATGTTGTTAACTGATGATGCTGAAGGTGTTCAAATGGTTTTCCAGATATTTTGGGATTGCACCTAGGATGCCTACTACTATTTGTACTATTTTTGCTTTCTTTTGCCACGATCATTCTAATTCCATTTGTAGTTCTTTTGTCAGACGTGAACAACCAGACCAACCAGTGTAGAGTACAAATTAGCTACCGTATTGCTCTATGCCTATTTCATAGGAATCTTCACAGACTGGCAGCTTGCCCTGAGAAAGATTCAAGGTGAGTCAGATTTGCCCGCTTGTGTTTACATAATGACTCCAGATTAATTCCCCATTTGAGTCCCCTTCCTGACTGGAACGGTTGCTCTCCAACTTATATTTTGTGATTTTCTTCAGTTCCTTCCCTTCTTTTGTTTCAATATTGAGAAAAATTCAATTATATGGATGTTAACCTCTTTAATATGAATTGTATGTTGTTTCAAAATAACAGTGTCAATGCATGGAATGAAGTTTAGAAAGAGACACTGAGATGCAAAAAACTGCATTTCACATTGCTGAGAAGAATCTCTGTGATTAAGATGAATGTTTTACCTAGAACCTTATTTCTATTTCAGATAGTATCTATATTGATGAACAATGTATCATTTAACAATAGCAAAAATATATTTCCAAATTAATTTGGCAAGGCTAGAAACCGAGTATTAAATATTTATTTATTATTTATTAAATTTATTTGTCACCCATTTCCCTGCAAGGCAAAATATATAACTTGCTGTACGGTGTTAAAGAAAGAGGAGCACTGAGTTTACCAGATCTGAAATTGTATTTTGCAGCATGCTGTTTAGTATCAATGAAAAAGTGGGTGATCTTGAGAAATAGGAGGTTATTGGATCTTAAAGGATCTGGTTTAAGATTTGGTTGGTCTGGTTATTTGTGGTATGACAAAGTTAAGGTTATTGTAGATTTTTGGAACCACTTTATTAAACGTGCTGTATTGAGAATTTAAAGTAGGTATAAAGTAAGATACTATCCTCAGATATCTTTATGGTTGTCAACTCAAGAAGCTTTTTTTAGAAGTTAAATGACAATTAAATCAAAATGGTTAACTTGTGCTAATGTACTGTCTTGCTCCCAAAGAGAACTTGTTAAAAACAAGAAAAGATCTGGAATTAGGTTATATACTGTATGTTATTGGTTTTCATATGGTCAGCTAATAAAAAGATTTAAATTGTATAACAATTACGATTTTGAAAATGGGTAAAACTGAATTTGATGTAGGATTCTATCACCACTTTTGCTATGTATAAACTCTTGCTGAAGATGAAAACTGAAGATGAACAATTTAAGGACTGTATTTGTCACCAGATGTCCAGGAAGTCTAATACCTGGCTGACGACCAATCCAGTATGGGCTTCTGTAAGGTACCATATTATTTAATGGAGATATACTCTTTGTCTGTCTTCTCTGATGAGACCTGTCCAGTAGTATGATTGAAACACTGACACCATTCTCATCTTCCTTGAAGCCCACAAGCCAGTCCCACAACCACATCAAGATAATGCCTCAATAGGGGAAATCATCATCATCATCATCATGTCTGTTCTTGTACTTCAACAAAATTTGGCACCTGATATTATTTTGCATTTTTGAAGAAAAAGAAATTAAACTTGTAAAATGTGTAGCACACAAAGCATTCTTGATCCCATTACATATACTGTAATTCTGTTGGCAACCTGATTATAACTTTACTAATTACATTTCTATGTTATTACAGAATTTAATATCAAATATAATTATTTTATATCATGGCTATAATAGCAACCACCATAAATATCAAAACCTAAAAGGAAGTTTTCAAACTAAGACCTATTAAAATTGCTTATTTTAAAGTGTTGGGGGTTTTTTGCCACACAATTAGTTTTTTATCTTAGCAAAATAATTGTACCTACCTTAAGCTTTTTGACACTTGTACAAGGATCATTAGAAAAACTCTCTGTATCTGATATTTCAATATCTTCACCATACAGAACCCCAGTTAGATCATTCCGTACCTATTAAAGAATGAAAAAATGACAAAATAAATGTATAGGTTTTTTTATACTGAACATTTTACTGTCTTGTATGTTAATACTTTACAAACGCACCCTAAGTTAACATTTAATATAGGCATTTTATATGAAATAAAAAGAAGAATGAGAGGTGGATTTTTCACATAAGTACAGATAGTCCTCCTTAAGTTAACAACCATTCATTCAGCGACTGTTCTAAGTCGCAGTAGTGCTGAGTAGTACTTACACCTGGTTCCCAAAATTACAGTTGTTGCAGTGCCCCGGTGGCCATGTGATCAACATTTGGGCATTTCATAGCAAGCCCACATAACAGCTGAAGGACCCCTTGAATTCACCCCACCTGCCTACCTCCTCTCCCCATTTCAGCCCTTTTGACAGCCCTGTACAGCTGCACTCTTCGGCAGCAGCACTGAGGCTGGAGTAGAGACCCGGGGGTCTTCAACAGTAACAGCTGCCTGCCATTGACACCAGGGAGACAGTTTGGGGGGGGGAGTTGAAGAAGAGGCAGTCCTTTGCTTTACAGAGGCTCAGGCTTGGGAGGGATCAAATTGGGAATGACTTGGATCCGGGTGGGTCCTCACCTAATGACCAATGGTATTTGTTAACAATAGCAACAGGGAGTGCAGGATTGACGTTGCTAAGTGATGCAACTGCATGACATTGTGCATTGTTTCCAAATCATTTAGCAACAGACATTCCACTCCCAATTATCCTTATAACTCAAGGACTACCTGTAGAAGTAAGATCCATAATTTAGCTACTATTGCACAAAGAAATAATTGTAACCTGTGGAAAGTCATTCCATACAACTGTAGTGCATCGCTTCAATCTGTAAATCCCAGATAAATTCTACATTAACCTTAAAACACAAACTATTCACTGGAAGCAACTAAATGCAATGCTGAATATTATCACTGAATATACGATGTATACTTTTCACACATTTTTCTTCATTAATTCATTCAAAGTCACATCAATACTTTATTTTTATTGCATGTAATTTTCAACAGAAACCTGTTAATTAACTATCATATATTTTAGAAACAAAGTATATTAGATTCAGCTTCATAATGAAATGATTCATGTATGTCTGCTTGACATGTAAAAGCAATTTGTAAAAGTGTTTTGTGAAAGTTCAGAAAAAAGAAATTATAATGAAGAAAGCTAAAACCAAGCCTGTACTCTAATTAATGAGGTTTAAGTTATATGCTATCCATATAAGTCACCAGTGATTCTGGATGGCTATCATTGTAATAAAATAATATAATCAATAATAATGCAGATAAGGCAAATATGCAGATACGTTCATAAAATCCAATAGGCACCACTGAAGGCAAGAACATATAACCAGCAAGACCAAATTCACAGGGAGAAAACTAAGCTTTTGATGCCTTCCAAAAGGCTATCAAGATTGGGTCCCATCAAATGTGAGGGCAGAGATCATTCCAAAGAAGACACACTTCCTAAATCTCACTATACAGGTGAAACTCGAAAAATTAGAATATCGTGCAAAAGTTCATTTATTTCAGTAATGCAACTTAAAAGGTGAACCTAATATATGAGATAGACTCATTACATGCAAAGCAAGATAGTTCAAGCCGTGATGTGTCATAACTGTGATGATTATGGCTTACAGCTCATGAAAACCCCAAATCCACAATCTCAGAAAAT